TGGCCACTGGTCCCATCACCTCCTGGCAAATAGAAGGGGAAGATACGGAGGCAGTGACAGATTTTACTTTTCGGCTCCACGATCACTGCAGATGGTGACAGCAGCCACGAAATTACAAGACTCCTGCTTCTTGGGAGGAAAGCGTTGACAAACCTCGACAGCATCGTAAAAAGCAGAGACATCACCTTGCTGACAAAGATCCACATAGTCAAAGCTATGGTTTTTCCAGTAGTGATGTACGGGAGTGAGAGCTGGACCATAAGGAAGGCTGACCGCCGAAGAATAGATGCTGTTGAATTATGGTTCTGGAAGAGACTCCTGAAAGTCCCCTAGACCGCAAAGAGAACAAACCTATCCATTTTGAACGAAATCAACCCTGAGTGCTCACTGGAAGGACAGATCCTGAAGCTGAGGCTCCAATACTTTGGCCATCTCATGAAAAAAGAAAACTCCCTGAAAAAGACCATGATGTTGGGAAAGTGTGAAGGCAAGAAGAGAAGGGGACGACAGAGGATGAGATGGTAGAACAGTGTCGTCAAAGCAACCAACATGAATTTGACACAACTCCAGGAGGCAGTGGAAGACAGGAGGGCCTGGCATGCTCTGGTCATGGGGTCACGAAGGGTCGGACACGACTTCACGATTAAACAACAACATTACTAGGTATGGGTGTGAAAGCTGAAACGGTAATTTTAAAAACTTGATTCATTTGCAATATGATGCTGGAGAATAGTTTTGTGAATATCTTGAACCGCAGAAAGATGAAAAATGGTTCCCAGATCAAATCAAGACTGAACTATCTCTGGAGGCAAAAATTTTTGAAACTCAGGCAAAGACTGAACTATCTCTGGAGGCAAAAAAATTAGAAGCTCAGGCAGTCCTACTTTGGGCACATCATGAAAAGGCAAGATTCTCTTTATAAGACAATAGTGCTGAGAAAGGTGGAAGGCAGCAGCAAAAGAGAAAGGTCAAACACGAGATGGATTGACTCCTTAAAGAAAGCCACAGGTTTGAGCTTACAGGACAGCTGAGGATAGGACACTTTGGAGATCACCCCTTTGTGACTTGAGCGCACATCGTAACAACTCAAATTATGTGGAGGATAGGACATTTTGGAGATCACTCATTTGTGACTTGAGCGCACATCATAACAACTCAAATTACAGTATGTGGCTTCTTCAAAGTCTGCACACTTGGAAATTCTGGTTGAGATGAAAAGATCTGTTGTTCATGCCCAGATGAGAACTGGTTGAGGAGTTTGTTTGTTTTCTCTGGAACAGCTCTGACCATCAAAGAGAGAAGATGCTTTCTTCTAAAAAAAACAACAACGCTTGTCTTCAGTTGTGGAAACTGCTACAAAAAACACAAGCAAGCTAGCCCACTTCTAACAGTTTTATTACTTTATTTCCTTGTCATTTCCTCTGAGTAGTCAAACCTTTCCTGTACCCATTCCTGACACTGTCCAGTGTATTTCCCATCTACATTTTTAATTACGAGCTGTCATTTGTGAGGGCTGCCAAATAAATAAAGACTGTGCCTGCACATTACCCTAAAGTTCCAGCCATCGTTTATGTAAGCCACAAATTTCGTCATGAATCCTACCTCAGATGACAAAATGAACCACAGTTTCCTTTCCTTTTTCTACTCTGTTTCTCTCCCATGTCTTTTCTTAGTCCACATCTTAGTTTAGCTCGGTAAACAAGCATGGAACAAGGCATGGTACTGGCTATGAATATTAACTGTGTGGTTCATGGCTGGCTAACAAACAATGAATTGTTTGCAGAACTAGGTTTGGGCACAACAAGCTACCAGGATTTAACAAATTACAATCTATCTTAGTATTATAACATAACCAGTGTCACAGTTGGAGTATGTTGCACTACGGCAGTGTATAAAAGTTGAAATAAGAAATAAATACTGCAATTGCGCAACACCATAAGAAAGAAAAACTAGCATAAGTTGTTCTTCCCCTCTTTTTATTTGGTTGGTTTTACTTATTTTTGTTCTGTTTTGTTTTGCATTTGCTCCATGTTTCTTGTTACCACTTTAAAATTATTTGATTTTTAAAAGCACGATATCAGTTATTAAATAAATAAAATAACGTGACCTCTGTGAAGAATAGGATAGCTGAGTTACATAAATAATATCACATTGAAGAGGTTATCATGTGACTAATTTACTTTTAAACTAGCTTGCTTTTTCTTTTTAATTTGACTCTGCATAGTAATAACTAAGTACATATGTTTTGATCTCATCAAAATCCTCTACCCTCAGACTATTTTGTCTTGTTTAAAAGTATTTCACAACCATTTAAAATTGGTTATATAGACATAGTTCTGCTGACTTTCATTGTTTCCTATGTTTTAAAGTTAACCTGCTGATTCAGTCCCAAAATAATAGGAGCAGGCAATATTCTTAACACTGTATTCATTATGCTTTCTTCAGGCAAGCCTTCCTGATCATTAGATGCTGCGTCTTACACAGAAACAAAACTACGTAAATGTCTTATTATTGTTTATCAGGGGCTGGACTACAGAAGAAAAGCGAAACAAAAATCAATTTAACGCTGCATTGATAGCGCCCATTTCTGATGTCGCATACAGTTGCTCTAATTGCAAAGTCTGGAAAGGCACAGGATATTTGGTTGTCAACCTTGCTTTTTGCTTAAATCAGTAAAGTTTCCAAATTACAAAACTCTACTGCTTGCTGAATAGTGCAGACAATGCTTCAAATCATGATGGAGTATTTATAAACTATCCATCTTTGGCCTAAATGTGCTCTGTTCCTTTGGCTTTTATTCAGATAATTTATTCCTGTCTTTATCCTCACAGCTTCCCTCTAAATACTTCCAAGATTGTCAACATTCCTATTTACTTTTTGGAGAAAAACAAGTATATAATACTTTTTATTTAAAAAAATTATTTA